GATTCAGATACAAATGCAAGCAAACAACAACAACGAATGCAGTTCATGTCGTAATGCTGTTGATGTAATAAAGAAAAGATAGAGCAACAACAGCAGCAACCAACCTGCTATCATTGTAATGACCAGGAAGAGCGGCCATGACTAAAGGAAAGCTTAGCAAAACAGAAATGTGACAAAGAACAATCAATTTAAAGAAACTAAAAAGAAAAAGAAGCCAAGATGTAACAGGAATCCGGTGGACTCAAGAAGTACCTGTTACTCGATGACAATAATAGCCCTTTTTATGAGGCAGCTTAAATCACATCAAACCGTAAATCACCAACTAATTAAAGGGTTTCGTTTTTATAAGACTTGTCAAATTAGCTGGACAACTTTTATTAGGTTCACAGAACTAAACAGAATCTTGTAATATTTTAAATCCATAGATATGTAAATTTTTTTGTGAATCTAATTTAACTATTTTTAAAATAAATATTTTTTAATTTGTACTTATAGCTAAAATCTTGACTCCAACTGTAAATAAACTGTTCCCACGTTGCATATAAACACTTTTCGTACTCTGAGAGAAGGAGCTACTAGATGAGGCCAAAGTACTGAGCGCGAGAGCGGCGCAACATAAAAACAAGAAAGAAAGATAGCTTCGGCATGCCGAAGTTTGTATACCCTTGCAGTTTTCAATTGGATTAAAAATCAATTCGATATGGTCAAATTAAAATACAAACAACAAATACAAAATTTTTAAAAACATTTTAAATATTTAATATAATATACATTATAAATATATGTATATGCAGAGCAAAAAAAAAAAAAAAAACAACAAGATAGAAGATAGCTTTACAACTGAGGGACTAGTTTGTGTAAAAACATACAGACGATCAACTCGGCTTTGATGCTGATCAAGAATATGTTATATATACTTTATATGTTGGAAATGACTCCTTCGCTGCTTTGCAAACTTCTGATTAAAATTATAATACCCTGCAAGGGTATAACAATAGTTACAAACAAACGTTCATATTTACTAGAGCAAGCGGGTGTGTGTGTGTGTTTGGTTTATGCAATTCCTGTCATCGGCAGAGAGAGCGAGAGTAAGACAGAGAGAAGTGGGGGTGGGTGGCGAGATTGCGGCATGCAGGTTAATTCTACTCTCATCGCTGCTGTTGCTATTGTTGTTGTAGTTGCCAGACAGACGATTGAAGAAGACAAAACAGGAAAATGAAAAATAATTGAATTGTAAGGCAATGTTTACAGGAGAAAGAGGAGGAAGAGCAAAATAAAGATCGAGAGAGAGGAGGAATTACCACCGCAGACGTTTGCAATTGGCAATAAATAAAAGAAGTTGAAGAAGAAACAGATTGTGCAGCTGGTGAAGGAAAGAGCGAGCATAATTTGCGATGCAAATAAACGGGGAATGCGCAAAGCTCCAAAAAATCATGGTAGAGGAAAAACAAAAATGAACGTTAAGTGGCATTTACCTGGCGACGGCGGCAACGGATTCAGAGGGACGGGTGTAGGGACAGGTGAACGTGCCTGTTTTACAAAACAAACAAATCCAGCAAGAGCCCAGTCCAAGGGGGACGTTGGGGCAGTGGCCACAAATGTTGCCGTTGCAACATCGCAACCATAATCAAATCAGAAAAAGGTGCCGCCGTCGCCAAAGGAATAAATTATTATTATTTTGTACAGTTAGAATGTCCATTATTACCAGAGTCAAGTTCTATACATATCGTTTTTATTAAAACAATTATTATGAAGCCTTAAAGAGCTGGTATTGTATTTAACCAAATGTCTTCTGAATTTTGTACCTGTATTTTAAAATTTAAAATTTTGATTCTTAAAAGTTGTGCTGTATCTTAGCTGGTTACCATATTCTTTGTCATCGCGGGCAGCAATTTGGCATTTTTAATTAGCAGACCCTCGTAGAACGTAAAGCATCTCTAAACATGCATTAATTAATGCAATCCCAGGGCTCAGACAGGTGATGATGCTTCAAGTCTCGCCAATGACGGGTCATTCAACCCATTACAGAAATTAAAAAAACAACAAAACTGAAAAGGGTTTTTTCCAGCACTCAAGACATCAAATGAATTGGGCAAATATTGAGCCAGGCAACGTTTTTAACTTTGCACACGCTACTAAGCAAACCCATTTCGTACGCACCACTGTTGACATCAGGGTAAGTTTGAGCGTTTCAAAAATCAAATTATGAAAGGAAAAAATGTCAACAGTCAAATATTTGCACAAGTGTCAGTTTGAAAGAACAGTCAGGGCTGCCAGACCGTGGGAGTATTCAATTCAGGGTGAGTTCGCGTTGACAATTATTATAGCTAAAGTAATCGATAAAAAGGATATTATATCAGAAATTAAGAATGTACTTAAAACATTTTCAACGACTGATGGCTGTCAATTTTGGCAGTTGTAGCTCAACAGATAATCAAAATTATAGCTTTATCTCTGCGTTTACCCCAAATTTTTATTGAAAAGATATAAATTGCTGTCTCGATTGTATCCACATTAAAAAAGCTGTCAAAATTATTAATTGTCTATACACAATACACGCGTTATATGCCTTAACAGCTCCGTAACTGTACTCAAAGATCAATGTTGCAACTTGGCCAAGAGTCACGGCCATAAAACGCAATAACGGGACACGTGTCGTTACCCATGAATATGCCAAATTCAGGCAACACGCGACCCGACCCAAGGATTCAATAAAAACTCAACGACAACCCACCCGAGTCCAAACAAGGTGTTGTTGCCTCGGGTGACCGGCTTTCGACTTTCCCGCTAAAAGGAACTCGCTAAATTAATTGCCCCAGGAAAACGCGTATTTGTCGGAATGATTTTTATGGCTATTTAAAAGGAAGGAGGCAAGAGATCGTAAAATAAACCCTCACACGGTACCGGTACCACCATAAAGCACAGCCCTTCGTTAATGCTCACAAGGAGTGCCTTGTTGCACGTGTAATTCCCAGTTTTTTCTCGACTTTCTGACAACCGCCCATAATCAAGGCACAGTACACGGTAGACGAGGGGATAGACATCAAATTATAAATAATCACCATCTGTGGGTGAATCTGACGAGGGTGTTCATAAATCGGCAATAAAATAGTTTGACCAGCGCAAAGTCCAGCCTTTTGAGATTAAACTCAATATTTGTGGGATGAGACAGAATATAATAAAATAATAATAAAAAACCTAATTTTAACTTTGTATAAAGCAATTGTATTCGAGTATTCCTTTTTCATTTTTTGACAACCGCTCATAATCGACACAGACGAGAATTTATGAATAATCACCACCCATCATCAGCGGGAAAACTTTCCACCATTTTTGGCAATGCAGTGTGTCCGCACCACCATCAGCATGAGGTCCTTTCGTTTGATTCCGGACCCCTTGTTCCAATCGGTTTCCAACCAAACCCCCGTGGCTTGACTCAAAAATTTGTGGCTAAACTGAAACACAGCAGTGGCCCTTGCATCCCCAGCCACTAACAAACATGCATCCGTTTTGATGCGGTTTGTGTCTGTTCTAACCCCCGCGAATTCTGGTGACACTTTTATAATGTGAAATCAATAACTCGGCCTGGCAAATGCACGCCAGTCACGTCACGTAGTGCAATGGATATCACTTAATTTTTATGTCATTTTGTGTTATTTCCTGATTTAATCAATCAACCTCCTTTTCTGTAGTGTTTCAACGAACTCGAAACAACAGAACCCTGAAGAACCTTGCATTCGTCTTCCGCGATCTTAAAATCAACACGATCGACCGCATATGCTCTATATCTTCCAGTCATAATCGTTTTCTAGATGCGGTATACAAATAGTAGCAATATTTCAGCAAGGCATAAATCTATTCGCACCATTGAACCATTGGCAGGATTTAAACATTAATTACCTACTAGAAGAGCCATATACAATAAAATATATATTTATTTCAAGTATATTTAGATATCAACAATATTGGGCATTGTTGTTGTTCGTTCATCATTCGTGTGTCATATGCGAAACAATTTCAAAAACGAATCTGTCGAAAATAGATGCTGACTATGAAGGTCTAAAAATACTATTGCGAAAACCAAAACTAACATACAACACACCTGGCTGAAGGCGTTTTATTTAATATTTATCGGCGGTAAAAAAAAAAAATATTGAAACAAACAAAAAAAAAGATTTATTTATTTAGTTTTGGCGAAACCCCATGGCAACGTATGTATTTTCGTGGTCAACGTCACGGAGAACGTAGAGAGGCATCTCTAGATACGTTGTTTTGGATGATGCCGAGGAATTTATAGAAATGTGAATAATGTTGACACAAGTGGGTGCAGGGAGGCGTCAGATGTCTTAGTTCCTAAGTGCCCGACATTATTTCTTGACCGAGAATGCATTAGGAACTAGGTGCTAGGTGATCTTCCTCGCCAGTAAGTACTGCATCCCATTTTCCCCCAAAATAATTATCTTGAGTGATTCACTAATTACACAACTTTATCGGCCAGGCATGAGCACGTGTTATAAACATTATAGGAACTATACATAAAGGATATAGTATAAACAAGTTGTTTCTCAGTGTGTTTTCTCTTAAATGCCTCTCTTGAGTGAAAGAGTGTTCTTTGAGTGCGGCGTGAAAAGCTTTTGGGTCAGCTGTGTCATATTTATATTTAGAAAATCATTTGGATAGACGGTTATGGAACATTTTGAATCGTTTTTCTCGCGCACGCACACACACACAGCCAAGGAGATCTCGTCGAGAACTTTCGGTGCCTGCATATATGTTGAGCAATTATATTTTCACAATGTTTGTCGGTCGAAACGGTCTATATATAGCGCAGATGAAGTGGCTCAATCCTAACCGTATCCTCCCCCGTAACCGGACCGACTCGAGTCCACCCACCAGGTAGCCATTCTCACCTGGTACGCAATGCAGGCATCCATCTAGATGCTACGGTATGCGCACCCAATTAAATCAATTAAAACTACGAAAAAACACTTTCGAAATCGTTTTGTTTTCATGGAACCCACTGGGGCATATATTATATTATTGGATGTTATGCGTGTATGTATGCTGATATATATATCATAGTTTATATATCCAAATCAGAATGCAAGCAAGATTAGAGAGTGATGATAAATACGTTATAAATAATCAAGAGTTTCGTAGGTATATATCGTAAGAACTAAGTCAGCTAAGAGTATACAACATCATATCATATCATTCATCATCGTTCATAGTTCATCGCGTATAGTGTATATAAAATTTGTCAACATTTCCGCACACAGTATGCTTCTTGGGGATTTTTGTCGGTTTGGAGCATTAAGACATACTTGGCTCTGGTCATCGAAATTAAATAGTGATAAAAAAAAGTAATAAACGACTTTGGCTCGCAGTAGTTTGCTTCGTTTCCATCGTTATTTCCCAGACGCCGCCTCTTGCGGTGACTGTACCTGCCAGAAAGTTAGAGTCTTTCTCGTTGCAGTGACTGTACTACCTGCAGATAGTTAGCCTTTCTCGTTGTGTTTAACGTCGTTTATGTAGTTAGGGTCGTTAGTCTTTGTTGTTCGATGGTTAGTGTCGCTTTCGCTTTGAGTCGTAAGTTCTTTTGGTTTAACTTTTTCAGTTTAAAGTTTTAATTTTTTTTTATTATTCTTTCTTGTTTTTTTTCTTGTTTCATATTAAGCTTATATTCTCACATAACCTAAAGAAAAATGGTTTTCGTTGATCAAAAATCGTTGGAAGCAAACGAAGACTAAGTTAGCTAATTTCTGGGATAGTTAGTGTTAAGACAGATAGGTCATTAGACAGAAGTATCGGAACGGTTCACAGACATGGATGTGGGGTTCGAATAGGTGTAAATATAAGTAAACTCGTTTAGAACGTTGTCAAAGCGCCCGCGCCCAGACCGTAGCCCACACCCTTGGGCCCGAAGTTGCGGCCATAGCAGGCCCGGCAGTAGATGTCGCCATCGGGGCCGTCGTTCAGATTCGTTGAGTCCAGCGATTTCCGGCAGTCCGAGCAGTAGAAGCATCTCTTGTGCCAAATCCGGGTCTTGCTGATCATCTGCTCGGCGGCAAAGACGGCGAATCCGCAGCGGGGACATCCGCCAGATGTTTTAGGTCCGGCCAGCGGACGGCCATCGGGGAACTGGATGGTGCTCTCGCCACTGGTGGACACCAGAGTGGGGGCATGGCCGTAGCCAAAGCCCTTGGGTCCGAACAGCTTGCCGTAGCAGGCGCGGCAATGGATGTCTCCATCAGGTCCGTCGCAGGCCAGCACAGAGTCCAGCGGGCGGTGGCAATCGGCGCAGTTGTAGCACTTCTTGTGCCACACCTTGCCCTTGGACAGCTGTTGCTCGGCGGCGAATACGGCTCCACCGCACCTGGGGCAGCCCTCACCCTCGCGTGCCTTGATCGAGGTGGTGTCCGGGTTGTAGAAGGGCCTGTTGGCGCTGATCTGGTCCTCGGTCAGGCCGTCAGTCTGCAGAAAGCCGGAGCCGCATGCAAAGCCATATCCGTGGGGACCCCACTTCTTGCCGTAGCAGGTGCGGCAGTAAACGTCGCGATCGGGGCCATCGCTGGCATTGATCGAGTCCAGCGTCTTGTGGCAATCCTTGCAGTTGAAGCACTTCTTGTGCCACTCGCGGCCCTTGGACAGCTTCTTCTCGGCGTCGTAGACAACGCCACCGCAGCGAGGGCAGCCCTCACCGGGACGAGCCTGGATCTTATCCACATCGATGGCCGCACGGATCTGGGGTGCTCCGTCATCGTGGGCATAGCAGTCGGACTGCAGAGCACCACCACCCTGGCCATAACCATAGCCCTTCGGGCCGAACTTCTTGGCGTAGCAGCCCTTGCAGTAGATGTTCTTGTCGGGGGCCTCGCAGCACAGAATCGAGTCCAGACCCTTCTTGCAGGTGCCGCACTTGAAGCACTCCTTGTGCCAGCTGCGTCCGCGGGCCAACATCTGTTCGGCGGCATACACATAGCCACCGCACCTGGGGCAGCCCTCACCTTCCGGGGCACGGGCAATGGCACGGGGCTCCAAGCGGGCGCCATTCCTCACCGAAGGCACATCACCGTTTTCGCGCAGGAACTGTGATCCATTGTCCATGGAGAGAGTGCCGGCACCGGTGCCGAAGCCATAGCCCTTGGGTCCGAATTTTCTGCCGTGGCAAGTCTTGCAGTACAGTTCGCGCTCGTGCTCTGTGCAGTTGGTGGAGTCCAGCGATTTGTTGCACATACCGCACTTGAAGCAGTTCTTGTGGAATACATAGCCGCCAGCCAGACGCTCCTCAGCGGCATAGACGCTCTTGCCGCAGCGCGGACACTTGGGAGCCTCGATCGGTTGGAAGGAAGGCATTTTATATATTTTATGTGTGTTTTTGGTTTCGCTATTGAAATGATCTATGCTTAAGTACAATTACTATTATACTTATTATGTTTATTATCTGAAAGTGCAGAAAGAGAACACACATAGAGTCGATGGGATCGAGCGAGGGGATTGGTGATTGAAGGCGAGAAGCGATGAAGGAGCGATGGATGAATGAGGTAAGCACCTGCCACATCAAATTGTGACGATCGCGTAATTTCTGTTATTGTTAACTAATTTGAACGGTGGTTCTGCCTACTAAGTACTTGAATAAAATGATCATGTAATTCAACTCAAGTAATGTAGACTATGAAATCGGATTATTTTTAACGGAATCTTTTGTTTTCTAAGCCATATACCAAATAGCTGTAGTTATGGTTCAAGCTTTGGTTTTTAAAGATTCCATATTTGTTTGGAATGAATATAGTCCCATGGTGGATCTCTAAAAGAACTCTGTAATATATACTTTTTTATAATTATGAATTGTTAGAGCAAGGCGGCATCTCTTATTATTGTATAATCCATCAGGATTCTCGAAAGTCGTAGACATTGCATTCTGTTTTGCTCAATTTGAACTAATTTTAGTACATGTACTAAATCCTTTAGTCACACAACTTTTCTGCATTATGCAGAGATAATCTATCAAAAATCTTATCTGTCAGTCCAAACGTCATCGCCTGTGCGCTAGAAAATTACCCAACCGGGCGTATACGTAACACACATACACAAGATTCTTGTGTTAATGATCAGCGAGAAAAAAAAAAGAGTTTTCTCACAACAACAAAAAATTCAGAAGGAATTCTTTTGAATCACACAGAAAAACAGAGGAAAACATGAGCAATAAATGTGTATCTATTCAGAATTCTATATTCTGTATAAAAATAACACAGACAGGTAGAAACACACAAAAAATGACCGCCACTATGACAGATATATCTATACATATAGATCTGGGGTGGACTCAAAACTGAGTCAGCGCTAGAGGATCATCTCTGGCTGGGTTAACTATCTTTGTGGCTGCTATTTGGCGCTGGTGTTTGGTGTTAGTCAGATGAGCACGGAATATCGGTTAATATTATCCAATCTGGACAATATAGCTAAAGCTACACCTACAACGGAACCTACAACGCACTGAAACCACACACGGAAACGCCGACTACTGAACTGGAAGATTGCTCAAAGCAAACTAATCTATATAATTGTGAGTGCACACGGCACGGCACGCCGCTGCCACCGAGTTTTTCTCGAGAGAAACTTTCCTCGGGAAACTTTAGATGTGCGGCAACACGGAGCAGAGCAGTTCGCCTTCATCGTTTCATTTCAGTTTTCATCTAATATCGCTAGAGAGTGGGATGGAAATATTATGATGGTATTGGTCGTGTCGAGCCTGTGGTTTTTAAATTTTATTTTGCTCGCTTCTCGATTTGAGAAAAGTTTTTCATTTCAGATTTTCCGCCATCTTCTTCTTAGATTTTTTATGCTCGCAAAACTTTTTGGGGGAAAATGTTTTTCCCTGGGGAGCACAGCATCGCACAAGACAAGATCGTAAAGTTTGTGGTGCATAATCGACACGGATACGGGCATTTGGGAATTTGTTTATATATTCCCGAAAACATTTAATATGCATTTAATACTTTATTTATAATTGTTTAAGTGTTGAAAACTACCAAAAAGCTCTGTAGTTTTTTGAAAAATTGTTTGAAATTGGAAAGCTAAAGTAAAACTTGAAGTTAAATTCTAAAATTGAACATTTAATTCAAAATTTTATGATTTTCAAGAAGGCATGAATAATAAGTTGTTATTTCTTGTACTAATTTTTAAGGTTTTAATTCGAATTTAAATTAAGTTCTTGAATTGAAATTTATCAAATATTTTTCAACCACTGTATCACGTTAAAAAACAACTCCTCACAGGCGGCAATTTCCATTTTTTCATTGACTCAAACAGCTGCTGAAAAAGAGCTTCCACTAAAAAATTGAAATCTATAAATACGACTGCGTGTGGGAAAAGTTGCTTCCTCCGTGGAGCCATACATTCCTCCTCCTTCTCTTATTTTGTGGGTCAAATTATGGGCCAAATTACACATGAAAATTCTAAAATTAAACGGACGTTTGACAAAACTTCAAATGTGCAGTTTCCGTTTTAGTTTGGGGCCGGCTTTAACCGATAACCGATATTCGTTCTCACAACACCAAATTATGAAAATATTTGCATTATTCTTGATGGCTGATGATGGAGTCCTTTTGTTTTTTTGTTAGGGATATTTACTTTTCGTTCGTAATAATATTTTCGGAAGAGAAAAATTTCTTAATTTTAGTTATAGCTTCGATTGACAACGATTTTCGACTGATCCTCGCGCTACAAAAATTTTGTCAAACGCCTTCGAGTGATTGTCTGCACACGGCACGACGGTAAGCGACGATGTCGCTAGAGACCCGAAACGATAGGGATGACGATGACTATATCAACAATAAATATAAATATGTATGTACATTAGCGGCCCGAACAACAAGCCCAACACAAATCACACAAATATCTGCTGGCTGCTCTCGACGACGCCCATATGAAATGTGTTTTAATAAATTTTCATATACCAGAGTATTTTCCCAGCTAAATATTCCAGGTGGAGAAAAATCGCATGACAGGGCAGAAAAAAAAAATGGATCAACAACATGGTTCAACTGTCTTGTTCAAAGTCACTGTCCGTCTGTCTTCTGGTACACACAATCCTCGGCAGGCACTTCAACAACATCAATAAATTAACATGCGCATTTGCATTTAATTAAAATTCGATAATAATTTTACCATGCGTTTTTGGGGTTCAAAAGAAAATTAATGGGGCATTGGGTACAGACATCATTGGGCGTCAATCACATCAGCAAAATAGCAAATGGACAAGGTGAGGATGGCCTTAATCGAACGAAAGATACCAAGTGGAAATCATCAGAGCTATATTTGAGAAATAAACTATAATTATCGGGGGTGCTATAATCGATGGGGTTTTAAATCCCTCAAGGAGGAGTGTACTACGAAAAGGAGACTTTAAACATTTAATTGCATACTTTTGGACATATATGATAAGGATAATGAAATCTCTGGTTATTTCTGCAGTAACCACGGATTTTATGAAACATTTTTAATAAGAAAGTTGGCAATTTTAATGATATATCTTATTTTAGCTTCTAAAAAATAGTTTTTAAATATATTATTAATATTATATTACTAATATTATATATTATTATTATTATTTAATATTCCTCGACTATAATTTATCGTTAAGATTTCATTGGTTTCCCTAAAAACAAAATTCCCCTTAAGATCTAATGGGTGTTCGAGCAACACCTTTTGTACAAGTGCGCTTTTATAAGAGAACATTTTCACAGAATTTTGTAAAACATTTTTGCCATGCATTTGTGTAATTGCATTTTCTTTTACTTATAAATATGATCTGAGAATTTGGCAAGGCGTTTGGGTTCAAAACTTTTTAATTTTGAGTGAAACGAATATACACAGCAGAATATAAAAGTATTTCAGATTCTGCTGTTCGTCTTACTCTTTGGGTAATAATTCTGAGAAGAAATAGCAATAAAAACAAACGTAAGAGATAATGGGGGCCATCATTCAAACGTTGCAACATTGTATTCATCAGAAAAGAGAGATTTGGATGGTACTCTCGACGAAATATCTCAAGAGAATCAGGAATTATTACTCAAGAGTCATAAAGCTTTCGCACTCTTTTCGGCAAAGAAATTTTTAAGTTGTGTTTATCAGTCTATTTATATTTAATGTATTCCACAAAGATAAACAATATATGCTGCAACTTACCCTTTTTGAAGTCTTCTCAATTTCCTTTTCAAAGTCTGTTAATGGCGTTAGAGACACATGCACGTCCTTAATAATATCCCGAAATGAGCTGCAAGAGCAAACAATTGTGGATTGAAATTAGGATAGTTTAGTCGTTCATTTTATAAATATTTTGTAAAAAAAAGAGGTCTCATACTGGGCTAATTGATTAGTATTATTTAACTACAATTAATCCAAAGGGTTTTTTTACTAAAATCAAATAACGAAAAACTATTTGATGGCTATTGGTTTCTCATTATGGTTTCTATATTAGGGATTTATCTCCTATTTTATGTCAATTTTATTTTGTGACATTTATATTAATAGTTACTTTTAGTCCTAATATAGTGAGTAACCCAATGAAAAATCAGGGCATTCAATGTCTAAAAACTTATTGTAAATATAATTTTATAAATTTGGAAAATTGTGTAAAAGACCTTTTCTTTGCGTTTCTCGATCCCCACCTATTGTTATCATCCAGAGCAGCGCCAGCGATGGAAATACCGCCGCTGCCGCCACCACTGGACTTGGCCGAGTCTGCCTTTCTTTTTTTTGTTGTCGAGGGATTCGATGTGCTGCCCGAAGGTAGGCTCGTTGACGAGGGAGAGCTGCCCTTTCCGGTGGTGCTTGGATTGCTAGCAGCTGCATTGGAAGATACCACAGGGCCAATGGCCATTATTCCGGCGGCCTGACTGTTTGCCGACGAGCCTGCGCTGGCCAAGTTATTGTCTCTTTCTGAATTCAAATGAATGCTGGCGGAATCGTTCAATCCAGAGCTTGAGGCGTTGTTGGTTCCATGTCCGAAATTAGAATTGCTGCTCGTGAGATTGTTGGACAATAGTATTTTGCCGGTTGTGCTTGTGCTGTCACTTCCTCCCGGATTTGTTGTGCTCAGATTTTGGGCTTGATTTGAGTGCTCATGTATTGTCGTTGTGGCTGAGCTAGCAGCTGAGCTTGTGACATGCGATGTCCCAGTTCCACTGATCCCACTCATTGTTGTCGACGTTGATGAAATTATGGGCTGGGTGCTGCTGGTTGTACTTGGCTGCACTTGAATCGACTCTTTGGCCTTCGATAGCTTGGATGACGACTTGTCTCGGGAGGACGAGGTGTTGGAAGACGTCGATGAGGCGGCTGATGAATTGGAGAAACTATTATTCGCTATATTGCTAGTGTTATCCTTGCTATCCTTATCCTTGCTAGAATTGGAGGATTTGCTTAAGCTCTTGCTGTGCTTATCCTTGTAGCTGGTACTGCTGCCAGTACTGTTTGAGTTGCCCGCCGATGATGATGATGATGATTTCGTGGTGGCGGCAGCGGTAGTCGTCGACAATTGAGACGCCGCACTACTGTTAGCTGCTCCAGTATTTGCTCCACCAGTACTGCCTCCGCTGGCTACGCTCCCAGCACTGCTGGTGCCTCCGCCAGGTAGGTTGTTATTGCTTAAACTACCGCTAGTGGTGTTATTACTACTTCCAGGTAGTAAATTACCACCATTTGGTGCACTTCCACCAGAGTTCGCAGAACTCGAAGATGGATTGGCCGCCGCCACTCCCGTCGAGGATGAAGTGCTGCTGCTACTGCTACTGCTGCTGCTCGACGATTGTTTCCCAGATGCATTGCTCTTTCGCTGCTTGGATGATGAGGATACGCCACTACCGGTTCCACTGCCACTTCCAGCTGAGTTCGCTGGATTTTGGCTACCTCCACTGGTGCCACCGCTGCTGCTGGTAATCTTAATGCTCGTTGCCGACGTGGCCGATGAGTTCATGGTGGAATCGATCTCCTTCTCGGGCGACGAACATGAATCGGATGAGGTGTCATGTTGAATGGGTTTATATGGCGGTATGGTTTTGACGTTGCCGCCCTTTTTCTGCAAAGTATCAACAATTTGAATGGAAAAATCATGAATGCCGACCTCAAATACGCACCAGTTTACTGTAGTGATGCTGGCAGTAGCCGCAATACTTGACGTTATCCAAATAATTGCCCGCCTCCTCGCAAAGCAGGCCTAGACTCTGGGCGCATGTGACATGAAACTGTTGCTTGCAGTTCGATTTGTTGCACTGCATGCAGGCGCCAAAATTTGCACGATTCGGTTTTCCAATCTCCAGGCAAATGTAGCAAGCTGAAAATTAAATCAATTAAAGATAATTACATAACAAAAATGGGTTAGAGTAAGCTAAATGACCACTCACTTTTCGAGTACCGCTCCTGCGGTATTAACGCCAGTATAATAGGTTCCATGGTGGTGACGTTCCCGAACCGAACCTCAGGGATATAGAGGGCACAGACGACGTGGGCCCAACCGGTGCTGTCGGTCTTCTTGAGGGCACCATCCCGCGAGGGACAGAGCTCGCAGCGAACGCGAGAGGTGCGCTCCTGGGACTCGCACTTGCGGCAGTACCAGGGTCCCGTGGGCACAGTCACAATCCCGTAGCATGCCTGGTGCACTGCCACCGTACAGTTTTGGCCGTCACAGTAGACGAGCGGGTTCTCCGGCCACCCCCGCTCGTCCGAACAAACGCAGCAGCCACCTACCATCTCCTTCATATCGTCCAGCTTGAACTTTTTAATTTTGACAAGCTTTTTGTTCAGGCTTGCGGAGTGAATGGTGTCTTCCTTGCTGGAGTCGAGCTCCAGTTTTGCATTGAATGTCGACGGAATTTTGTTAAAGCTGAAAGTGAAACATACATTCTTTGTTTAAGAAGGGGGAGTAAAGTATTTACGAGTGTATTTTAGCTTTGAATAAATACAATTGCATTTGAATAAGCCGATGTGAATAACAAGAAGGAAGTTAGGCAGATTCCACTTTGATTGAGATAGTTTGTATCCCTACTACTTATCACACGCGTCCCCTGCTAATAAAATTGTGTACATTATAAATATCCATCGATCTTGGGATATAGTGGTTCCGGCCTTTCTCGCTATCGACAGTAGTGCAGTCTCTATCGATGCAGGTGTCAATTCGCAAGGTCATTTGCACTCGCTGCCGCTCTCGCTCGCTCGTACACAACAATAACAAGTACCGGGCCGGCCTTATGAAATATTACTTAATTGTTTTTGTGCACATGTATTTACAAATTTAGCCTTCCACCAGCGTGTGCAAGCGAGATAGCGCCTGGGCTCCATTCGCAAAACATTTACACGCACACAATTGCTCAGGCCATGTACACACGTAAATACACAATCTCTCAATGTCAAGGCAATTTTCGACGCTTCTTAACAAATCAGCCGATTTTTTGCGTTTTTTTTTTAAATCACTTAAATAATTAAAGCTGTAAACATATCCGCCGATGCTACCGAATATTGATTTAACATTTATCACCCACAATAAAGTCCACAAATAAATTGTGATACGTTCAAGAAAAAAAAAAACCAAAACGAGCGACAACAAAATCACGCACACATATTCAGGCACGAGGCATTCCATAGCTGGTTCATTGAACTTGAATAAAATCGCTTCTCCCAAATATAAACAAAGGCGGTACCAAAAATAAATCAGGAAAATGCAGAGTATTACTCCAATTGGATTTGCAGGCTAATTGCGACGAGTGCGAGAGAGGCCCAAAATATGTGGGTCGCAGCATCTGCAGAGATTTCACAACAATACCAATAATAATAATAACGGCATGCGGGTGCTCCATTCGACCATTGCATTGGTGTGCGAGTGCGAGAGTGCGGGTCTGATTCTACCGTTATTGGGTCAGCGTGTTGCCAACTGCCGAAAAACGCAGCCATCCAGTCAGCGTGTTGCCAACTGCGCGAGAACTTAACGGTGTAAAAGCAGTAAAAGCACTAAAAACACACACATACACACACGGGAACTTAAAACGAGGCCGCTCCGCTGTGCACGCCGCTTTTGTAATGAAGAGCAATGCACTCACAGATACATACACACGCTCGCGGGGAGATGCTTTTAGTATATACATACATCACGTTATATACACGAAATGCCGGAAAAGGGGGCGCGTTTTTGGGGGGTGGAACGCTGCCATCCATGTATACTCCATTTACGGTGGAGTTTTTGGGGGCTGGAGGCGAGGGTGGTTTCTCCCACTTTTCCGAGTTTCCCTCTTAAAGCACATGAATCTTAAATTTCTATGATATTGTGTGTCTACACCCGTGCGCGGCTTGAATTTATTGATTTTTATGGGCAATTGCTTCAATTTCAGGGCTTTAAAACGTCATCAAGAGCCACCAACAAATGAAAAAACTAGTTTCGCGCGCGGCCAAAGTGGTCAAGCAACGCACAACAAAAACAGAAGGCACAACAAAAAATAAAGAAAGAAAGAAAAATATCTCTTTTTCAGGGAGCGGTCACCGAAAAACTTGAAATTCTTTCAACTTTCTTGTAGCAGTTTCTTATTGGGCGCCCAACGCCTTCACAGAATATTGATTTTCTCGATTTCTTTACCCGATTTCACACTTGGAAAGAACGTTTTTCTCAGCCAGTAGAGGCCAATTGTTGTTTTTATGGGTTTCTCCTGGCTTTTCCCAGCACTTTTCCTCGCTTTATCGAGACTTTCCAGCCGCCCACGAGCAGCAAGCGCACGCAAGTAAAATAATCAACACACCAAAACGAAAAAAGGCGCTGAACATCATCCACCAGCGCAACAACAACAGTGTGCGCGAGTATTTACAACACCAACACACACCACACACACCTTGTAACTTGTTTGTTGTTGTTTCGCTCGCACATCTGGGGCGAGCAGTGCGGCGCGAGAGAGACAACACCACCTGCTCTGTATACAAATGCAGTTAGGTGAGAGAGACAGTTTTCCAAGCTACGCAATGCTGGCGAAAAACCCGGGAAATCGAATATTTTCTGTTAATTGAACAGCACACGGTGTGCAATTTCCACGATTTCGTAAAAAGTACGAGATTTTAAGCCGTTTTATCCACTGAACGACTTAAACCCGAAATCAATCACACGTCTTCTTCTTGTTTTTGATAGTCGATAAAATCCCAAACGCCTCTTGGATGTAATAAGCAATATAGTATTTTTCCACCAATTGGAAATATACTAATAAAAATGAAATTATTTTATTTTGTTTGGTATGACAATTGGCAAGCGCATGCAGTGTTATAATTTAATTTGTTTCATTTTGAAAAAAGATTCATCCTGCAAATCTTATTGACAGTGGTATATCAAAAGGACAAACTTTTGTTTTGGTAGGTTTCCCACACTGAGTTTGGTATATTCGAGCCTTTTCTTTATGGTCACACTGCGCCATTCCTCCTCCACCCTGACGGCTGTGCATTTTAAAATCTTCGTTTTTTTACGAGAAAAAACAAGGAAAAATGTCCTCGAACGGCGACTGCTTTGTTGTTCTGCCTGCCAACTGCGCCGACGGTTCGCTAATTTTCGGTCGCAACGCTGAGGACGCCACGGCCGCAAGCGTTGCGTCTGAGGTCTGCTTCTATGATGTCAGCGAAGTGCTGGAGGGGAAGGTAACAGACGGGGAGACGAAACGAGACTCCAAACCGAAGCTCGATCAATGACTCACTCACCATTTCGCATATCTTTCAGACCGACGGTGGGGCTGCCGACTCGGAGGCTAGCGGCGGCGACGCTTTGCGTGTCATATTGCAGAAACCGCAGCCTGGTCTCTGGGGCGGAGATTTCGGGGCCAACGAACGCGGCGTGGCCATAGGGCTCACCTGGGCTGCAGGTGAAGAGGAAGCCAAGGGTAGCGATTGCCTGCTGGGCACCGATATAGTGCGGTAGGTATAGCCCGGAATTAGTTTTCTGCAAAAAAAAAAGAAACACATTTTCTAAGCGACTTTACTTTTTTCTGTAGTCTAACTTTGGCCAAGGCCAGCGATGTGGACGAGGCTGTGGACCGAATCGGAGCTTTGATTGCTACTCATGGCCATGACAACTCTAAAGTGAACTTCATTGCTTGTGATTCCGCTGCTGCCTGGTTCGTTAGCTGCTCGGGAAAAGTGTGGGCAGCCGAGAAGTTGGAGAATAGCTTCCTTCGACTGCCCTCCGGCGGACTGGTGGTGACAACCACTGTAAACAAGTCAAGCGAGGGACTTGATACATCCGCTAGTTTTGCCGCTGCCCACGATGCCGAGGCGGGGGCTCCTGGCGAGGATTGGTGTGGACCAAAGCCAGCTGGAGATGGCACTTACACCCAGCACGATATGTTTGAGACGCTACGAGCGGCCAGCAATCCGAACAGTTCGCGGGCGGCCACCGTGTCGGTGCTATCCGGGAAGGGAATTTCGTGCCATTGGTTCACGGGCACGCCCAATGCCGCCGAGTCAGTTTTTAAGCCGTTCGTTTTTGCCCCAAATCCGAGAATCTCGCCGCTGACCCAGGTGCAGGCGGAATCGGACTTGACACTGCTGCACAAGCTTCACTCGCAACGGAAGCCGGCGGCCTTGGAGCACTTGCGGAGCTTGGAACGCTCATGTGTGGACGAGCTAAATAACTACTTTTCGCTGCAGGATCATGCCAGCGACGAGTTGGACGAACTGCTCAAGGACTGTGTCGAGGCGGAGGTCAAGTTCTATCGCTAGACAAACGAAAGTGTATTTCTATATGGATACTACTCCGAAAACAAGCTTGCAAGCAGCTCTTTTGAGCCTCTGGATTTGACTTGAGCACTCTTAATGGCAAAATACCAAATAGGCTTTCTTGTGCAATTTCCTATCGATTTTATTTCGTTTATAGTTTGTATGCTTTTGCGTGATATTTCTTAAATTATTTATTTATTCTCTCTCTATCTCAGTGGCAATCTCTGACTTGATTTTAAAGTATTATGATTATGTGACATTCCCAGGCTTAGTTAAAACGATTTACATAAAACTGCATTCAAATATATACATACAATACATATATGAATACATACATACATAATTATACATTATATACATATATGGCTCTCAAATAAACGCATAAAATCTGCATTTATACAAAAAATAAAAAGGAATCATGTATTTCTTTGATGTTAAAACTAGGGAAAATCCTGACAAAAACGAAATCCTCTTGTCAGTTCAGCAGTTGACTTGTTTTAATTTATTTATTCTGTGTTAAACGGACTCTACAACCAAATTCGTCTTAAAAATAGTGCTATCATTGTGCAAGGCCTCCAGTTTGGTGATCTCAAAGTCCTGATATATCTCGCGAAAGTCCATAATATTTCGCGGATCACTGTCCTTCCAGAATCGATCGAACTCAAAGAACAGATAGCAGTAAAGCTTGTGGAAATCTTGCACTGTGCTAAAATCCTGCTTGTGCTGGACCACCAGATTGTAGAAGTGTGTCTTGGCGGCACCGGATTTAACCAAATTGAAGGCCATCGAAGTGAGATTAATGCCCACAATGGCGTAGGTGTAGCCCAAAGTGGGGTGCATAGAGTGCAGGAGCACATGCTTGGCGGCATCATTGTATTCGGTGGCAAAGTAGAGCAAATTCTCCAAACCGAGCATGCCCATTCCCCGGAAATCCGTCTTGGGATCGTCGCCCTGAAAGCCGATGTCCTGCCACTGTTTGCTCACTCGTCCTGTGAGTGGATTCTCCGGCATAAGGAGCTGCCACAATCGCAGCAGCTTCTGCTCGTGCTCGAGGTTATCGGAGTCGTACTTCTCCGCTCGCAGCTGCTCCAACTGATGCATCAGCCGGCGGTAGCCCCAGATGCTTGTCACGCAGGTGCCAAAGAGCCGGGCAAAGTCCGGATGCACATTACTCTTAATGCGCTTGGATTGCATCACAACCCGAGCAGCGCGGGGAGCTGGACAAATGCAAATGTAAATTTATATGTAAATATTATTAAATATGAGTCATTATATTTGTAACGCACCGAATTCCAGCAGCTCCCTGTCGTCCACATATGGCGCCGCCTCGTCAAGGTCAAGACCTAGGCGTCGTATTTGCGGCGTCTTGGACAATGCCAGCGATCGCTCCACCTGACTCGTCCGACTAGCACCGGCGCGAGCACCATAGCAGATCCTTTGCAACTCGGACAGCCGGGTGAATGCGTGGAGGAACCACTTGATGAACGGCCTTATGTAGCTGACAATAAAGGGTAATATCCTGTCTAGTATAAACATTTTTGCTTATGAGAGAACACCTTTGGCTGCTGCTGGGAAAGATTTCTGTTTCCCGATTCCGTTTGTTGTTTGGGTCGCCGGGTTGCCAAGGCAACCGAACCCGATTGGTTTTGTTCACAATTTAACTTGTTTTTGATATAATAAACTCTTTTTAACTTTTGTTAGTCTGTCTCTTTACAACAATAACAAACGCAATTTTTTATTGTTATAAAAAAAAGCGGTCCAGCTGATGTGGCCCTCAGATAGTGTTGGAAAAAGATACAAGTTATTCCTAGGGTGGCAACTCCGTTATAGAGCAAGTGGTGCGGTCATACAGTGACTGGCAATTATCGAATTATCGGTTCGGTTGCAACGCAGCCGAAGGTGCTGCCGAAGGCTGCCGAAGTCTATGTTGTTCGCTCTCGAACACTCTACATTCTACACGAGAATTCGACCCCAAGCATGTAAAACTTTGTTTTGACATTTTACTTTGAAGTTCAGAGTGACCAAGGGGAAAATATAAAAAAATATCAATATTGGGCAAAAAATATCGATATATTTAGGTTTTGAAGCAGAATTGATTATAGTGGGAAAATAGCTGAATTGGCAATACTGATTCGGTCGCGGCGGCACATTTCAAACACGTTCGTCGAACACATTCTCTCTCGGTTCGGTTGCAACGAACCCGAAGTTCGGTTGCAACGGAGCCGAAGGTGCTGCCGAAGGCTGCCGAAGTCTATGTTGTTCGCTCTCGAACATTTTACATTCTACACGAGAATTCGACCCCAAAAACGAGAATTCGACCCCAAGCATGTAAAACTTTGTTTTGACATTTTACTTTGAAGTTCAGAGTGACCAAAAACAAAAATATGGCGATTTCGATATTTGGGCAAAAAGTATCGTTATACTTAGGTTTTGAAACACGCAAGATATAGTGGGAAAATAGCTAAATTGGCAACACTGGGGGGCAGCCACATTAACCGCGGGAGGAAATTTCACCGCTTTCCTCTTTCACCGCCGGCCCAAATCACCACGTGGTCACCCGAGGCTGGACGTGCTCCAGGTAACTTCCTACGACTGCAATACTTTTCGCAACTTCACACCACATGCTTGTAGATCTCCACAAGCGTCTGAATGGCTGCCTCCCGCACATTTACAATGCGGTCACCCAGAAGGGCGCTTACAGACTTAATGTAGACGCGCACGCTCAGCTGCTGGTTGCCATACTCGTTTAGAGCATTTACTACGGTCTACAAGAACTCCTCGCGCACCTTGGCGTTCTTGTGTTTGAAACATCTGGTGGCCAGCTTGTCGATCAGCGTCTGCGGCGGCAGCACTCGGTGCTCCATGAGATCCCGCAGCAGCAGTTGGGCCTTCTCACGCACCGTGTCCCGGCTGTCCCCCAGCCGGTCGATCACATGTGGCAGCACGGTGGCTGTGTACGCATTGAAGTCGCTGCCCAGCCGCTTAATCAGCTCCGCGAAGGCCTCCAGCGACTTTTGTATGTAATTTGTAATCTTAAAGTTACTGCCCGTCAGCCACGGCATGAGTCCGTTGATGGATGAGGTCTGTGCACACAATCGAGTTTGTGTCGTCGCTCAGGAATGTCACCAGATCCTCGGGCAGCTGCACCTTCACTCGCATATCCGCCTTGGGCATCTGCTGGATGAACCCGTTCAGGTCGCTGGGTTTGCGGTAGGCCATCGCGTCTCGGATCTATTCGTTCCCTTGCGCTGCTTCAACTATGTAAACGTTCTCCCATATTGTATTATTGTATTATCTTCTGTAAGCCGTCTACTGTTTTATAAGAGCGGGCAAATATTGTTACAATTTTTTCCTTATCGGCACAATATTTCAGTAACGTATGTATTTATGTATGGCAATAGCCACCCAGAGGTCAACTTGCGGTTTAGTATTATAAACAACCAAATATGTACAAAATGTAATTTATTTAAGATTAAAAAAATAAAGGAACTAACAAATAGAAATAAAAAAAAAAAAAAAAATACTTTGTTGACAACCGCTTATATTTGAAAACAAGACTTTCACACCGTTTATGCTTTCTTTTGGAAAATTATAAAGTCATCGAGTGATTTCGGGAATCCGTTGATAAGAGATTTTAACCTTCACCCCGAAACCCCTGATTTACGTCACGCTGTTTAAATATTCTAAGCTCTTAGCTACGAACTGAACTTTTTTCAGCTAAGTGCTAATTGCAAAACGAATAAATTAGTAATTTTAAATTGATTTTTGGTTTATATTAATATTGTTTTTTACCAAAATTAATATAGGCCCTGCCTTCTTCATTGCAAATGAATATAATTTCCCAATTCCCAAAATTGCTTATAGCAACTTTATCTGCTCTCTGCCTAGATTACACGTTTCCGCAAATTACTGTTCATAGGAGATCCATAATTTTAAACTCCAAGACAATGCGAAAGACAAATTTTTAATTCTTTTTTGCACCCCGCCCTGAATATACTAGGTTCATGGTATTTTCAAGTATTTTCATTTCGCGTCTCGATAACATCGGTACTATCGATAGCGCATCCTATCGTTTCCTAAAAACAATAATAAATTGTGAAAAAATGATTAAAACTGAAGTCTGGCTCAAATAAAACGAATTTTTGGAGTTATTGTAAACCAAAACAAGTTGTCCAACCCGTTACACACTTGGGAGACGCAGAGAATTTAAAAAAAGTAAACATTTCGGAATACGTGGTAGTGCTCTTCCGACCAATGAAGTAACCAGTCTTTAGAATTGATTTTGTCAGGAAATGAAGCGCAGAGCCGAGACCGCCAAACCCAAATCATTGCCCTACCGGGTGGTGGAAGCGCCAATAAAAGTTACCGAAAATGAGAGTGTCAGTACGGAGGAGAAAATAAAGAATCTAAATCATAAAATGAACGTGGTCATTCTGAACCAAAAGAAAATACTTCAAGTTTTGCGGTAACTATTCGAACTATTACACATGTTCTTAAAATGTTATTTTATTTTTTTAGCCAATTGACTGCGCATCCCATCGATATGTTGGGTCCTCAGGATATAAAAACAGACGATTCGGACCTGTGGACGCCGCAACGATTCCCATTGACCGAGTTGGAGCAAATGGAGGCGTTGGAGGAGGATATGAATGACCCTGTGAAGGCATCAGTCTATGTACGTTGTTATATTCTGAAACCGGATTTCGATCCAGAGGCTTGAATTTGAAATATTTTCTAGGTGGAAACCATGAAAGATCTCTTGAAACCTGGCGGAATATTCCGAGCTGGCGGTCTACAGAAAAACTTTCATCTTATACTCCGCGTTGATTTCATGGTCATGTTCAATTTGGATGGCATTCACCACAAGATACCTCTGAAGAAGTTTGCCAATTTTAGCAGAGCCCTATACAGTAAATTATTTATTTATTTTGTTGCTAACATAACTTACATGTATATCTTAAATTTCAGAAGTTCTCAAGCGTGATGAAGCCTATGTCATGGATGACTATATCGCTGAAATCAGGACGACTTTCCGCGTTTATAAAAATAGAAATAATAAGAGGGCGTCGGTGGTTAGACGAAAAATGAAGGAGGCCGAAGCCCATATAGAGCCTGAGCTAGACTTCGAGGAAATTATATGCTCTGAAACTAGCGAGTTTATAGATGAATTTGATTGACCTAATTATTCTTTAATAATGAAACATAGAATATTAATTAATATAAGTTAGTTGTTAATAAGGAACAACAATACAATGCCCCTGTTTCTTTTGCACATTAGTTTTTATACATATTTTACAGGCTCAAAAAAGACACCAAAAACAAGGTACATATATCTTCTATCATCATGAAATTTATAAATATGTTAAATAAAAAGAATAAAAAAGTGAATATAATAAAGAATATTGTAAAATAATAAATAAAAACAAAAAATTTGGTTGTGCGTCGGCCGGGAATCGAACCCGGGTCAACTGCTTGGAAGGCAACTATGCTAACCATTACACCACCGACGCCATATGAGATACGGTTGTCATTTACCCATTTGACAGTCAACAGCACAAATGGTCTGGACCGTTTATCGACAGTCACCATACGCGTATGGTCACATCTTAAATTTCCGTTAAATTTAAACAGACGAAATAAAAATTGCAGGTAGCTAAATTAATAAGATTTAAAGTTATTATGTGTGAAGAGATTATACTACATTTTTATTAGTTAAGTTGTTACTAACTATGACCTCTAAAATGTAATTTATAGAAATATTGTTAAATTGTTTGATTGATGCCAGAAGGAAAGTAAAGGTTTGGTACAGGCAATGGCTCAAAAGGTGTAAGAGTTTTGCATTTTTATAACCGTTTGATCTCGCTGATTTTTATTTTATTTTTTGCATTCGAGCTCTGAACACTAACAAGAAATTATAGTTTTTAACCTAAACTACTTTAATGAAAAGTGTTGATACCACTAATCTGCAAAGAGTTTTTAGATAACGATGCCTAAGCGCCAATTTGAAGTAGTCAACTAGTTATGTTAATGGATCAGGCAGCTCCTATACTTTAGCATTTGCTTTGCTTAGAATAAGAATACATAGGAGGAGCTTCTATTACCATTTTCTTGAGTTGAGCAAAAGTCCCAATATAAAATATAAATTCGGGAAAGGTCGTTGTCATGCATTTAGAGTATCTGTCTCCGTGGCCGTAATTCCGGAAACGGTTCTAAAGAGGCTTCTTCCGAAGGTCCTGTGCCAAGTGACTGAGGCGGTTCGCACTAGAACCACTTTTTTGATTTCCCAAAAATTGGGTCACAGACTTGAGTGGCCCATAGATGATATATCTCAGAGTTAACGGCTTTGGACGTCGACCTTGCATATCTCAGTAAGGGGGAGCGATTCGAACTGCAAGTAATAAGGATTTGGGACCAATTTATATATTTATTTTTAAAACCGGAATTAATGAATAAAATGAATATTAGAGTACAAAACGAAGAAATAGAGGCTATAAAGAATATATATATTTTTTTTTAATTTATCCTTTTGGATGCTGAAAACACTTGTTAAAAAAAAATCATCGTGAATATAGTCACTTGTTCACTAAACTTTTCTTTAATATTTAATAAATATTATAAACCCTTATAAATTCTAAAATATTTACGATTGAATAACTTTCGATGCATTTGAAAAGTTTTAATCCTCTCTGAATCCACTCAGAGCTAAGAGCTCACCCCTTTTATAAAAGTCTATCTTCATTGTTGATTTCAATTTTTGCACTTTCGAAAAAAAAGTACTTTTCAAATGAGATTAAAATTTACACACGCACACACATACCCCCGACCCATTGAGGCATGTCTTTGAAGGGATTTCCCCGACGTTACCCTAATGTCCGGTGTCAACACACAGCGGTTGGACAGCGAAGGGGAAGCGGCAGTGTGATAAGCATTTCGATCCTACTTTGCCTCTACCTCAACAATGCGCTGGGGTTTTTAATTAGAATTCGAATAACAAAAAAAAATGGAAAGTACTCAGCCAAAAAAGAGCAGAGGGGTGAGAAGAAACCCTTGCGGACGGGGGCAATTGCGTGTAATGATATCGCAGATCGGACCGGGACTCAAACTATATATGTACCTATATAGGGTTGTCAGTTGACGAGGCGGTTACGCTTGATTGTGTTATATGACGTGTGCATAATTCTCCAAGTGCCGGCCAATTTCAGGTCAGTTTGGCTAGTTGCACTTGGTCTGACTTGGTTTACACAGTGAAAATGTACTAATAATAAGTCAACGGTTATATGCTAGGGTCTTTCTGAGAAAATTATAGGCCACATACATACATACATATATATTCATTCAGCAGGAAATAAGAAATTGGGAACTCCAAATTGTAGCTTAGAAATCAAATTATCTGCACCCTATTTGGGTTTCCATAAAGTCATATTTCGTATAAAATAGAAAGGCCATAATTGTATTATCTTAGCAAAAAGATCATCAGCCATAGAAGGCCTGAAGCTTTCAGCCCACAAAATTGCCAATGCAAGACAACTTGATAAAATTGAAAACTAATTTGTTTACACAGCTGCATAAAACGAGCAGCGCCGGCAACGATAACAACGTAGAAACAATGAGCAGAGGGACTAGAGGAGGGCTTCTCCAGGCGAAGGCAAAACAATTTGTTTATCATGGTAGCCTTAGTGAGGTTGTCTGATGATGAGGCAACACACACAGGCACACAAGCAGCACAGGATAGGACGGGCACGGGAAAAGGGACAACAAACAAACAGAGTTCGGGTAAGGAACAAGACGAGGATGAACTCGGCAATACATCAGGGGTGGCCAGAGATGGGGTACACTTGAATAAATTGGTGAACAATTTTTATGAGATTTAATAAGAATAATATCTTATATTTATAATGAAGTCTTCTTATTCAGAAGGAGGCACTCTATCAGTAGTCAATGCTGAACAAGGTTTACCATGAGTACCAATTTGGCTCTAAAACCATTTGGAAACTCTACTGATATTAATGATCAAAAACACAATCGGTCTTAAAATCAAAAATATCTTTTTTTGAATTTTTTATACACAACAATTATATTTTTAAGTGCATCATATTTTGACACCCCTGTCATTTGTGAGCCCCGTAAAATATGCAGCGAATACTGCAAGCGCCTCTTAATGGAGTTGTTTTCGAAAATAAAAAAGGGAAGCGGAAGGTGAGGAGGAGGAGGAAATCCTAGACAGTGCAAATATTTGAATTTGTCCTTTGCTAATGCTTAAAAATTATGCTGGTTGACAAATTCCTCTGGCCCGCAAACTATTCTATTCCTTTTTTTAAAACCATATTTGCTGAGCTCGTTTCGGTTGCAACAAATCATTAATTAGACTTAGAAGTGCTACGAGGTAATCCTCATGGTGCGGAGTTGGTTATTCCGGCACATCATGGTGGAACTTGTGCAGCTGGCGCCTCAACCCCTTTTATTGCCGCTGCTGCGCTCCTCCTGCTTCTGCCCCTGAAGCGAAACACTTGTCTCTGCATCAAACATCAACACCTTCCATTGTCAAGCATTTGGGCAATAATTCCGCTTAAACAGATAAACGGGCGACCGAATCAAAAAACAATTCAATGTCTGTTTGCAGAGCGTGGCCCGGAAACATTGAATTTAACCCTCCCCGGCCTCTAGGGGGTAAACTTAATAAGCTTATGGCACCCCAAAAATGCAACCCTGTCTGGCCAAAACTTTCACCAGGGCGCGCTCCTATTGGTCGCAGCTTTAGCTCCGCCCCTTTTGCTGTACCTTTTGATGTGGCGCCGCCATTGAAAGACACGATATATGCATAGTATATCCACAACCACCCCTCGGTGCGCTCTTCTTATCAGACCGTGTGTCCTGCAGAATATCCAGGACCAAGCCCAGGCATTCGCTTCCCGGCGGTCTCAGAGTTCGCAACGCAGCGCGCTTCGATGACAGTGTTCGCGGTACCTTTGGATCTATAGGGATTATTGGGGTGTTGTCTACTTCGTCCTTCCACTAGGTCGTGTGTGTGCAAATATTTAGTGCTTGGTGGTGATGTGCAATTCGAACAATTTCCCAGAAATTGGTAGAATATAATATTTGTTTGGATTAAACTCTAGTCAGGGGACTATTTATTGGATATTTCACAGTGTTTGAGGTGAGTTTAAGAGTCATTAAGTTATTAATCTCTAATTGTAAAATCATAATAAAATATAATCTTTAAATATTGATCAAAGAATTCTAGGTTAATTTTGTAATTCTTTAAACACTTAACTTTCATGGAATTTGTAACAAAATTTTAATTTCAGACAAGATGTTAATATGATTTGTGTTTTATAATTATTTTTCTGTTTTAAATGTTTAAAAAATGTGCAAAAAATGTTGAAATGTATGCTGTAAAAGGTAAACTCTAAGCTCAAATTATGAATTATTTATTATTAGGATTTAATCAGCTTTCTTGTTTACCGTTTCCTTCATAAATAACTTGTATATCCATGTAAATGCCACTTTTCATATCTATTAGCTTCTAAACTATATCTTATCTAATCGAAATAATGTTGGACATGTTTATGATCAATATCAGAACAACAAAAAGGTGATAAAACCAGAAAATAACCCCTGCTTTATGTACTAAATCCACTTTCAGATAGATACCAGAGTCAAAAAACGGCGACACGCGTTGCACTTGTCCAACTTTGTGTCCCCTTCTTAAATATAGCGGCACGTGCTGGTCACGCGTCGCCCATCAGCGAATCGGAAGTATTAGCTTCACCGTTATGCACTTAGCAGGCAATTACAATTAAATCGGCAAACAAAAGCGCAACAGATTTTCGAGATCGCCTGACACAATGTTTTCCATGGACAACTTTGACTTGGAGGCCACAATGGCGCGACACTTCTTTGAGGGATCGCAGGCCACCAACGCCTCCACCTCCAGTTCCGAGTACTTTTTCGGGGACGAGCACAGCTCGGAGAGCGACGACGAGGATGATGCCTACAGCAGTGGCTTCAACAGCGATCAGGAGAACAACGAGAAGACGTAAGGACCAAAGGTTCCACTGGGGTTGTCGAAATTATATCAATAAAAACATTATTATTTTTTAAAAAGTAAAAGTGAAATATTTGTACTATTTGACAACCCTAGTTTGTAGCCAGGACTCGCCCATTAATCGTCTCTAGCTTTTCCCTATTTAGCCGGCGGAGCCACAAGCCGCGGCGCTTGAAATGCGCTTCCCAAATGGCCCAGCAGCGGCAGG